CATACACACCCAGACCAGGAATCGAACCTGGGAGCTAGGTATGTGCCCCGATTGGGAATCCAGCCCTCAACCTTTTGGAATATGGGACGATGCTCCAACCAACTGAGCCATGGTAAAGAAATCTTTGTTTAGCTTTTGTGCTCTTCAGCATTAGATCCAGGCTCTTTTCATGGCTCTCATGGAAGTTCATAATCTCCTTTTAGAACCTGTCAACTCTGGTCTCCAGTCTTGGATATTTTTTTTTGGCCACTTGGAGACTCTCACAGTGGGCATGTGTCTTAAATACTATACCTGGTCCTTCCTTTAATTTGATACATGAGCCCAGAAAAATCAAGGGTTTCCCCAAGCCTCTGAGAATCAAGGTTGTGATTAAAATCCAGTTTCCTGAGCGCAAATCCACAGTTTATGTGAATGTTTCTTCTGGGTCCTGGTTCCTCCTCTTGGCTCAGGATAAGCTACTCAGGTTGTGTGTTCCCAGATGTCCTAGCAGTATCTTCTTCCAATGTCTAGCTTCAGTCCAACCAACCTTCCTTCCTTCCTTCCTTCCTTCCTTCCTTCCTTCCTTCCTTCCTTCCTTCCTTCCTTCCTTCCTCCCCTCCCCTCCCCTCCCCTCTCCTCTCCTCTCCTTCTTCCTTTCTTCCTTTCTCCTTCTCCTTCCTCTTTTCCTTGCTCCTCTACCTTTTTTCCTTCTTTTTTTCTTTCCACCTTCTCATCCTCCTCCTTCTTCTTGACCAACTTAACCCTTTAGTTCTCAGTCAGATTTTGCAGTGGTGGCGTGTATTTGGACTTAAGTCACACTGCCTGGATTTGAGATGCCATTTTTATTGTTGCTCCCCTTATAGAGAATTCAGATGCCTTCTGAACTGAGTTGCCCATGTCTTCATTTCCAGAAACTGGAAATTTTCTGAGGGTCTTAGTGTTCTCAGGGTCCCCCATGGCCCATTCTCCTCTTGGTACATTGTCTACTCACTCACCTCCCTCCCCAACTTAAGTGCTGGAGCCCTAGGCAGGGTGACTCAGTGTAGCCCACCTCATTAACTGTGTCCTCAGGGCTTCCAGTATCTCCTGTGCCACCCCCTGCCACCCCCTCCCTCTATCTCTCTCTTTTTGAGTTAGGCTTTTAGTTTCTTTCTGTGTCCACCTTTGCCCATCTCAATTTATTCCATCCACTTCATTTTCTCTCTTGTGAGGTTGCTCAGGATTTGAGAGCATGAAACTTTTAGTCAGATATCCAGGTTCAAATAATTTAACAAATCTTGTTATCTATGTAGTTTTGGAAAGTTATCTAGTTATGTATGTAGTGTTGTTGGAAAGTTACCCTTTCTGAGCTTTCATTTGTGATCTGTAAAATAGAGGAGATACTATTACTTCCCCTCATAGTGTTATTGTGAATATTAAATGAGATAATATATGATAATTATTTTGAAATATGCTGGCCTATAATAAATATAAGTGTACAAGACATGTTTGCTAGTACTTTTTCTTACACTTTTAATCTTTTTGTCTCTATTTCCCCCGCTTGCTTTTAACTGCACTCTCTCATTTCGCATCTTCTAGATGACAATGATATAGGATAGACCTGTCAAAATTATAGCTATCAGCATGAGGAAAAGGCCTTATTTGTTCCAGCAGGATGTGTAAATTTTGGGGGGGAAGAATCAATGGTTTGAATTCCAACTCTGTTATTTACTTGTTGTTTGACCTTGGGCAGGTTATTTTGCCTCTTTGAGCCTTAGCTGTTTTGTCGCTGCCATGGAAATAACAGTATGTAACTTTCCCCAAAAGGTTACAGTATGATGTCACACACACACACACACACACACACACACACACTCACTCACTCACACAGATGCATATGCATAGTGACTGATAGACTTTATTAATGTTCATTCCTGTCTCCTTTTTTAAATTAACAAAAAGGGAACATGTTTGAGATTTGGTGTGATATAATCTACAGGAAGAAGCACTTGCCTTTCCTTGGGGGAAATTTGAGATAATTTAGAAAAGCGTGAGAATTAATCAAGACCTCTGCATTTACTGGGTGCAAACGCAATGCAATGAATGGTCCAGGGTAGTAACCTGGAGAAATGTAAAAATCCTCACAGCTCATCTGAAGTTTCAAGCCTCTGCAGCCCCCTAGTGGCCATTGATTGTAGCAGACGATCTATAATTAATTGACAAATTACTGGAGTCAATTTAACTTAGAACAAGAATTAATATAGCGAATAGGGGATGGAGTGAGGAGTGGAAGGGCTTAAATTTTAGTTTTTAAAAAATATTTTAAATGGAAAATTATTCTTTCATTAGGGCACATGTGCGCAAAACCTGATGAAAATCCAAATATATATGCTCACATACTAGCAAAGTATCAACTTCTATACCCTTTCCTTCCTCTTTTTCTCTTCCTTCCTCCCTGCCTTCCTCCACCTAGGTAGGAGCGTAATTTATTCTTAGGTCAAATTAATCTTTGCCCTTAAATTTGAAGAGCCAGTGTACCCAGTTTGAGTTTCGGGGAGAGGCCAGTTGCCTTTCAAATAAAGAGAGTTGCCAAACATAGAGCAGAAAGCAAGTCATTCCTAGAAAGAACAATTTTTTTTTTGTTACTGGGTCTTCCGGTTGCCACAGGCATTATACTACAATGTTCAAAAGAGCCCAGCTTTGGAGAGTGGGGACCCTGCTTGGCCATTACCTTCTGTGGGGCAGTACGCAAGTGACTGCAGCCTTTTGAGGCTCACTGAGAGAAATTCAACTCTACTCTGTGCTCTGACTCCACGAGGAAACTCCTCTGCTACCTGCCAGGCTATTGAGCTCCTGAAGGGAAGATCTTGCCTTATTTTTAACTCCTGCAGTTAGTACAAGATCTGACAATTGACCTTTAAGAAGAAGGAATGCAGAGGAATTTGTGTGAACTAAAGGTTGTAGTTTTGTTTCTTGTTCTAGTGGATCATCACTTGTTATAAACACAGCCATTATCTGAGTTCTGTGTAGGCAGCTAGGAGAGAGATGAAGGGAAAGAGAGACCAGAGGTGCAGTCCTTACTTCACAGGGAATTAAAAAAAAGGCCTGCGGTTCTGAACTCTCGAGATTGTGAGGAAGAGTATCAGATCATTATTCTTACCAGCTAAGTTACTTCTAGATCTTCTTGGACTGTTACTCAAAGTCAGGGAATGGTAGTATGGTGAAACAGTGGTTAAGAGCAGATGAGTATGCACTTTGGAGACAGGTATGACTATGTGATCCAGGGAAAATCAATTAAGATTTCTGCGACTCAATTCTTCATCTCTGAAACTGGACTTTAAAATATTTACCTTGCGGAGACTGAAGGAAGTGACACATGTAAGTACTATTCTGAGAAAACCCGGGGGAATGTCAGGTCTGAAAAGTATTTATTTTAGCAGAACTCTGCGTTATCACTGTCACTCTCCATCCACAACCCTGCCAATTTTCCCTGTGTAGATGACGGACTGCAAGGTTCTCAGAAATGCGTTCAAATGATAGAAGGGTCAGAGAAGAGTCTCTCAGGACCCTAGTCCAAGCTCTCCTCGTATTTGGCAATGTCAAACCTGCCCCTTCTTCCCCTCCTTCCTAATCCTCGCCTCCAGTTTTATTCCAGAACATGATTTTTCCGAAGTCGGACCCATTTAATCTCTTAAATGCATAATTAGGGAGAGTGCTTGATTGCAAAGGCCTCTTCCATCCTCCCATTTATCTAAAACAAGCTCTTGTTCACACAGCAGAGAAATAGGGCAGGGAATCTGGAGGTGGAGGAAGGAAGGAGCGGGGAGGGGGTGGAGGGAGGGCAGGACGGGCTCTGTGTTTTTCTCAATGAATGTCGAGGTCTCTGCAGATTTGCATAGGAGCCGACATCGCTGCGCCATTGGTTGGCAGATGTGAGAGGGGCGGGGCAGGCCTGCGTAGGTCTAGCCGCGGCAGGAGTTGGTTTTTGAGTCCCGCCCCCACCGAGTCCCCGCCCCCTCGCGGCGCGCGCTCGCGGCTCGGCTCTGCCAGCTAGCTGTAAGTGGCGGGCGCCCAGGCAGATGCGATCCAGCGGCTCCGGGGCGACAGCGGCGGTAGCAGCTGGCACTTCCTTCCGCCGCTGTCTGAAGGGTCGCGGGGCACTACGGCGCCTTCCGGCCGCCCTCCGGCCAGCCTACCCGAAGCCGCTGGGGCTGCCGATGCATGAGGACAGGGCAGCAAGATTTCGGGCTCTCCTGCCCTGAATGATTTCAGTCAGCTACTGCCGCTGGGGCCGCTTTGGTGGTGCCTGAGAACTCTGAAGAGAAGCGACACGGGAGGAGAGCAAGGAAGCTACTACAAACTTGCGCCTGAGCCTCCGCTTCACAGTGCGGGGGCTCAATTCAAGCCCAGAAGTTTAGCGAGTGGTGCAATCCGAAGAATTCCCGCAGCGAAGGGCCGCAGGAGGGTACGCGTGAAGCAGTCCCCGCCCTTGCCACCCCCCTACCTCCGAAAGAGGGGGCGAGAAGCTCAAAGGTGCTGAAGAGCGTGCAGCAGCCTCCCGGAACAGCAGACAGCAGCTCGGAGCCACCGTTCCCAGCTGGAAAGTTGTGGAGGATTGGAGGCCAATCCAGAGCGGACAGACCCAGCTCAGGCCGCAGGGGGCAGGGGCAGACGGTACCCAACTGCCACCTCCCTTCGACCATCGTAGTTTTTCTTGTTCCAGAGCACAGCGAGCGAGCTACAGACGGGGGCGCGGCACACAAGAGGCGCAGGGTCCCAGCTGCTGAGCCCAGAGCGCTTCAGCCTCTCTTGACACGCCCCTGAGCTTCCAGCTCAGTTCTGTTGGAGACTACTGCTGGCCTCCTTGCAGTTGGAGGAAAGCGAGAGAATCATCGAGTACGCGAACAGTTCTCCAGAGACCAGGTGGAAGCAGCCGTTCAGGACCAAGGACTGTTTGGAGCCCTTTCCCATTTGGGAAGCGAAGGGCGAGGCTGGATTCCGGAGAGTCAGGAGCGTAGTATAAATAACCTTTCTCTGGCGGGATGGGAGCCATAGGACTCCTATGGCTGCTGCCGCCTCTGTTTTCAGCAGCAGCCTTGGGCCCCGGGACCGAGACCGGCACCGGCCAGCGCGTGGGCTCACCCGCAGCGGGGCCGGCGCTGCAGCCCCGAGAACCGCTTAGCTACTCGCGTCTGCAGAGGAAGAGCCTGGCCGTGGACTTTGTGGTGCCCTCGCTCTTCCGCGTCTATGCCCGGGAGCTGCTGCTGCCGCCGCCTTCCCCCTCGCAGCCAAGGGATGGCCGACCGGAGGCGCGCGGCTCGCTGGCTCTAGATTGCGCCCCATTGCTTAGGCTGGTGGGGCCACCACCCGGAGTTTCCTGGACAGCGGGCACCACCAGCTCCCCAGCCCCGGCGCAGACGCTGTCCAGGGTGCTGAAGGGAGGCTCCGTTCGCAAGCTCCGACGCGCCAAGCAGCTGGTGCTGGAGTTGGGAGAGGAGGCTATCCTCGAGGGCTGCGTCGGGCCCCCAGGGGAGGCGACTGCAGGGCTGCTCCAGTTCAACCTTAGTGAGCTGTTCAGCTGGTGGATTCGCCACGGCGAGGGTCGGCTGAGGATCCGCCTGATGCCTGAGAAGAAGGCGTCGGAAGTAGGCAGAGAGGGAAAGCTGTCAGCAGCGATCCGTGCCTCCCAGCCCCGCCTTTTCTTCCAGATCTTTGGGACCTGGGGTGAGCACCTCCCGCCTTAGCTTGTCGGCATTTGTTTTGTTTTTGTTTTTATTTTTTTAAGACATCAATTTGCAGCCACTGTCAACTAACTCCCATTTCCAAAACCTCTGCCTCTAGTTCTTAGTCCCCTTTTCTCTTTCTGCAAACGTTTTCCCCGGTTAGATCATATTTTCTCCATGAAGGCAGTCATTCCCCAAAGGTCTTCCTTCCTCTTCAGCCATCAAATGGGGAGAAAAGTTTTCTGGTCCTGGCAGATTGCCGCCGCCTCCTGACTTACAGAGTGTTCCAGCCAAAATCAATCAGATGCCCTTCTTCGGCGGCCCTTGCAACAGTCAAAATACCTCTGTTATTTCTATGTCTCAAGTTTAGTTCTGGGTCTAAAAACTATTGCCCATCTTTCCTTCTTCTAGTTCCCCTTCCTGGCCACCACAAGTTTGGGTAATGTGGTACACTTCCTTAGGGAATCTAGAATTTCTCCCCATAATGAATTCCACCCAGCTGTTTTTTCCAAATGTTGAGTTACCTAGGGATTGCCTCTTCATTAGTTTGTCCTTCCCCAACCCCAGTTTGCTGTCTACTTTCAAACTCTTGTGATTCCTCTCAGATGTTGTTGGGAGAGAGCCAGAGAAGCTACAGGACAGGGCACAGGAGGGAGATGTGAAGAGAAGGGAGTAAAGTTGCCAAGATAGTCTTCCTTTGGGGAGTCACTGTGAAGTCAGGAAGAGAAAATAGTTGATTTTCCTGTCTTCCCCTGCCCCCTTCCTTCTCTCCCATTCTTATCTTGAATGTCTGCAGTGGCAGCTCTGGATGACTGTCTCTGGCAGGCCTGTTTCACTGCAGTTCTCTCTGCTGGAGACTCCTGAAATGAGGTTTCTGTTTCATTTACTCTCTCATTTTCTTCCCATATTCACTGAGTTGTGTGTGTGTGCCGGGGAGTGGGGGTGGGGTGGAGGGGGCACTTACTTCTGTCTCTTCCCATGGTATCCTTTGACTGGATAACCAGGCGGTTTTGAAAGGATATTTCTCTAGTAAGACCACTGGGGAAAGACTTGTGAATAAAATACACAATGTAAATGAATGAGAAAGCACAGAAAAGAAACCATGCCTTTAAAAAGCCTACACCAATTCATTTGAGCAAACCCAGCATGTTTTATGTCATTCTTATCATCAGAAATAAATGAAATTCTTATGCCCCACTGGTTACTAATGCCTAGTATTAATTGGATGAAAAGCATTTTTAAAAAAGCCCATTGTAGAGCTACAGGTATCTCCCATGCTTGTCCCAACACACACACGCATACTCCTACATAACCCCAGAACTCTGATGCAGCAGTGATAATCAGAAGCTGAGGCTCCTCAGTCATGGCATGGTAAACATACTGGTATGTGGTCCCCAAACAAAACAGAGTCTGGATGCACATTTTAGCATTAACATCAGCGGCATTGACATCTAAAATGACCCCTTTCTGCGCAATGCTGGAATATATATCAATGCATAGTAAAAGGCAGGGTCTGCCTTCTGTGAACTGAGATAGGAGACCAATACTGTTGTCTCACCGGAGGTACTTTTGTAAAGAACAGCTGTGTTTTAATGTCATCGTGGCTTCTGTGGTTTATACACACAACATTCTCTTTTAGTGCCTAATATTTTAGTAATGGATATAAAAATGACTTCTCTGGGAATGTGGAATTTTTTTTCCACTTTCATGTCTATGAGCATCTCTAGAGCTTTCCCATCACTTCTTCTAAATGACCATAGGCCCTAGCAGGCTAGATCAGCTATTGTTAGATGTTGGTGACAGGCAGAAAGGGTCCTTTCTGCAGCCCTGAACCTGCCTATAAACTGGCAGGTTGCATGAAGTTATTAGAGGGTATCTCTAAAGAGTCACATGCTTAATGCATTTGAAGAATATATTCTAGTTGAGCTTTAGATAGGAGATGAAGCTGCTGAGTGAGGGAGTTTTGCGTAGCTTTGAGAGCTGCTCTGATACTGGGAGTAGGGAAGCACTGTGAGCATCCCAAGTCCTCCTTCAGCAGCACAGTCTGTTTGGCAGCTGGACCAAGCCCTTATGCATCATTTGACACATCTAGCAATCCTGGTTTTAGAAAGAGCCAGGATGCTGCCATTAAAAAGCTAGAAATTTTGGCCAAGCATTTTTCAGCAGGATTGGGATCAAATGATAATTGATAGGATCAAATAAGACACTAAGTGTAACTGGATGAGTGCCCCATGACCTTTAGAGAGACAGACAGCTTATTGAAAAGCACTTCTGGCCTTGTGGTGATCACACTTGGAACAGGCTGGACTCTCCTGCTCTGAGGCATATGCTGTCTTCAGTTAGGCAACTGGCCATGCAGGGCTGACCTCTTGTCTTACCACTGCCTCCCCAGCCTCATTCAGATGTATTCTCCACCGCAGGACTTCCCCATGGAGGGAGTGGTCACACCCTGCTATGTCATGTTTCATGTTTGGGGCAACATACATCATTGTGGTTTCATTCATTTCCTTGTACAGAAATTTAAGTTGAGGTTCTCGCACTTGGATTGATTTCACTATTTATCATGTTTGAGGAAGTGAGTTTATTCTTTTTATATAGATTGTGATTTATAGAAAAGGCATTTAACTCCTCTGTGACATAGAATCTTCAAGTATAAAAAGAGAAAATAGGCATAACTCAGTTTATATCTCCATGCCTCTGCCCAGATGACTGGTGGTCTGGCCTTGAGGGGCACAAGGATGAGGTTATCTGTGGGGGGCGGGGGTGGAGAGGAGAGGATGCGTGTTGTGCCACCCCTTGTGGTGGGGGCCCCAAGGAGTCCATTAGTCTGGCTGAAGATAGGTTCCTAAATCTGAGCAGGATCATGACTAGGGATGGGCTAAAAATGGAAAAGTACCCTGTCAGTACAAAGCAATATCTTGGGATTGATTGTGGTTTGGGCTGTCTGAGATGACAAAAGGATGTCTGAGACACCTTGTAACACATGACATGCTAATGTTTTTTCTATGTGAATTGCTTTGAGCTCACAAATGGGATCAGTATTTCAAAGTCGGAGGCGGGCCCCCAGAGCACCCATTCATGGAGAAGAGGTAGAGAGACGGTTGCTGGGGCTGTGCCAGTGGCAGTGCACCGTCAGTCCGGACCTCAGAAAGAGGTCTGCCTGGAGGCTACACACTGCTTACAGCTGTACTCTGTATCCTGTTTTGTAGATGTTTTAACATCTTGTTTCTGCCATCCCCTAGGCAGAGGTCTAGAGGATGATGACTTGTGGTGGGATAGGAGGGCCTATTTCCCTGTAAGTACTCCCTTTCTTCCCACTCCAGGAAAGGGGATATATGACTGGGGACTTTGCATGTACTATGGGGAGGCCTGAGCGATTTAAAGTAGTTGTGTGCAATCTAATACACTTGACTCTTGACCTCATATATCTGTCAGTCCCTTCCCATTTCATTTCTGGAGAGGACAAAGAGAGTGAAGGAAGAGAGAGAGGAAATTGGAGCTCTCAGAAGGGATATCAGTTATTGGAAGTGAGTTGGGAGAGATGGAACTAGACCAGAGAAGAGCAGAGAGCTGATTTAAGAGTTGAAGGGACTGATTTATGATGAAAGATGAAAAGAATTAAATATGTATGGCTGGGCTAAGTGGCAATGAAGAGAAAGCTATGGAAACAATCTATAGATCTCTGAAGAGGGAGAGTGGCAGTGAAGGAGAGGAGTTATTTAGTGTGGCCCATAGAAGTAATAGGATGATACTTTCAGAAGGAAACTTCAGGTTGGGTATCAGGGAAACCTTATTTTCTGAAATTGACACTCCTTTACTATGGAATAGAACTCCAGGGGAGCAAAGAGTAAGGTGAGATGTGGGTCAGACAAGCCACAAAGTTCATAATTAATCAGTTCTGTACTTTCAAATGTTGAGAAGCCACAATGGGCAGGAGAGCTGGGATGGGGAACAGTGTCAGGAATCAGGATCCTTTGGGATACAACTCTATTTTCTGTTTTATTTCTTTATTCATAATTTTTTAATTTTTCCATTACAGTTGACACACAATATTATGTTAGTTTTAGGTATACAACATCCTGATTAGGCATCTATGTAACTTATGAAGTGATTGCCATGACAGGATTTAACTCTTGAGAGCCTATGAGTTTTGGTGTTTCCAGAGCAAAGATAAAATAATTGCATGTGTATCTTTGAGTTTGGTGGGAAGTGTTTATTAGAATTTTGTTAATGAAAAAAAAATTGAAATTACTGGGCTTATTCTTCTCTGCCCCCAGATTAAACACAGAGTACTTCTCTAGGGCATTGTCCGTATATACACTGTGGGGAGGCACACTCACCAAAGCATTAGGATGCATCTGTAGTCATGTGCATCACCACGTCATGGACAGGGCAGAAGGTACCTGGGTCTTGAGAAGATGAGATCAGTTCTAGGTTTGGTGGACTCCTACTGGCTACCTGAAAACCCTTGGCAATGCTGAGAGTGTATAGGGCTATTTGAAAAAAGTTCATCTAAATCCAATTGATCCTTTCACAAATGTACAAAAAGAAGGAGAACTCATGATGGGTTTTTTGTGTGGGGAGGAAAGTGTTATCATTAGTAAAAATGAATCTTTATAAGGAGATTTGTCTGCTGAAGGTTGGGGGAACTAGCCTGCAGGGAGAAGGGAGAGAGTATTGGATCAGCAGAAGTTGCAGTTCCTTGCCACTCTTCAGATTATTGCTTGATAAATTCACTTCATGGGAATTTGCCCAGCTTGACTCCTAAAAGACATTTTGCCTTTATGACCGTTATTAATGTCCTCTTATGGGATTTACAGTTTATAAAGCATTTCACATTTATTATTTTTACCAATCCTATGGCAGGGCAAGTAATCATTTTATTTCTTAAGTGGAGTAACTGAAACCTAGGTGTTTGATAACACTTCTTCAGGATTATACAGGTAGGAAGTGGTAGACCTGGAAACTTTAATTTATGTCCTGAGAGGTTATGAGATGCTA